TCCGCCTCTTCCTTCTGCTCTCGGGCCCGCTGGAGGTCCATCCTAGACCCATGGTATCGCGCAGCTATTATGGAGATCTGTTGGGTAGCCTGCAGAGGAGGGAAAAAGGCGTGTCACAAAAATGGAAAGCGAGAGAGAAAAAACCAAAGCAAAAATGAACTTACCACCAGAGAATTCTGGATGATAGAGCGAAACAACACATTCGTTGATCGCCCCCTGTGAGCCGCCATGTCGGCCTCGAAATGCAGCGTCTCACTCACTGCATTGGCGANGATGATAGAGCGAAACAACACGTTCGTTGATCGCCCCCTGTGAGCCGCCATGTCGGCCTCGAAATGCAGCGTCTCACTCACTGCATTGGCGACATGAGGGTCCAGCAAAATGGAGTCATCGACCTTGATCACTCGGTTCATGTGATCGGTGGCTCGGGGATTCCACTCTGCGGTTTCCACTGTCGGCGGAGGGGAAGGGGGAGTCTGCTGCTGCCGTTGTTGCTGTTGTCGTTGCTGTTGTTGCGGAGGAGCAGGGGGTAACCCACGGCCTCTCCCGCTTTGCTGCTGAGCGAAAGATGCCCTGGATCCCCTGCCGAGGCCATCGTGCCTATGTTTGACCCTTCTCTCCTCCTCTACCTGAGGATCCCGGTCACGCACTTGACCCCGACTGAGAACTCTTGAGGATGGGATGGAATTGGTCCCTGCAGATGGGGCGCCGCCGGTCGATCCTCGTCCCCTCTCGGCAGCAAGAGCTTGCCTCTGCCTCAGGAACCCCAGGTCAATACGAGGCGTGCTGGACATCGCGACCTCGAGGGCGTCCTCGGAGTTTAGAGATTGTAGGATTTGGAAGTCCGACCATAAATCTCCTCCCGAAATCCCCACCTCGGCGTCCGAAGGAACAAAGTCCTCTCTGACCCCGAGCTCTTCAACTTCTCCCTCTACTTTCGCCTCCGAAGCCCGATCAGGGTCTTCTTCCAAGTTTTCCTCGACCTCTTGCCTCGCCGCCTGATCGAAGAGTTCAGACCACCGCGAAGGCTCAAAAGGCTGAGGAAGCTGTGAAAATTTCTTATACCCGGGGGTGTAATTCAGCAGGGGGTGTAATCGTGACTAGGTCGGCAAAGTTCACCAGCGACCGAGGGGGAGGGGTTGTTTCCCGAGCAGGGATATCTGCACAAACAAAAAAGTAGTCATGAACATGAGAAATCCAGAGAACAAAATAATAAACCCGAAGGAACCGACGTACTTGCCGTTCTCCATTCCAAAGGGCATAACAAGCCGTTATACTCGGGACCAACACCTCTCTGCCAAGATCCCTTGAAGATAAGAATATCGTCCTTGTACCCCTTGTCCGAGTCGGGAAGATGAGTTTTAAGGTACATGGAGGGGTCCCTGACTTTGAGGTAGAAGTGTTGGTAAGGCATGACTTTCAAGAGGGAATAACAAAAAAGGAGATCGTTCAGCCTANTTGCTAAGATCAAGCACCATCGGCTCACAAAGGTCCCTCGCTCCCGAGGTACTCGTCATATGGGATCATGGCATTCAGTACGTTTTTACAATCGACACGTAGCCTCAGTCTGATATGGTACCTCTGTTGGTATACNATTATTCTGAAGACATTAAGGCAACTCTGCTCGGGGAAGAGGCGGAAGTGAGAGAGGAACTAGAGAAATAAAGGGGGTAAAGGAAACCTAATTTCGCCCTCTATTATGGCCTTAAATATAAAAGGGCATAGCATCCTCGGCCCCGAGGGTAGGAGAGTGCACCACCGGGTCATAATCCTCTATGTCTACGCACGGGGAAATGCTGTACTTAANGCATGTCGTTGCTGACACGCGACTTGGGAAAACAAACGATTAATTACACCATTCCCTTGACAAGACTGCATTCAATGCGGTAAGGCTCAGAAATAAAAGGTAATAAATGTTCCTAATACAGAGCATTTGTTGCATCCTCCCCGAGAGGAGTTCATTGTACCGTCGACATCCCGNGAGGAAAGAGATCTCCGGCGAAGATTCAGGAAAAGGCTCTCTTGAGGAAGTTCGGAATGGCGAAACAAGAAAATGGAAGAGGAACCCCGTTTATATAGTGGCAGTTTCATCATTGGGCACGAAAAATGAAAAGGCGCATTTAATGCACACGACATCCTAAGCAGGGGAAAGCGGCTCGAGGCAATGATGAAGCATTTGTGGTTGTTGAAAAACCCTTTGTCTCCTTACGACGCGTGCCCTCGGTGTCAAAAGATCGAAGGCTGGGGGACAGTNTTACTAGATCGTTCTTCCGCTCCCTCAGGGTCTCCCGTTGCCATTCCAGGATACCACCAGACCTCACAGGTTGTTCTAAGTAGCGTGGTTGGTCACTCAACTGACTCATTCGAGTTCACCAAAAAAGAGATCTGTTCTCATTTTTATATTGTGCAGGATCTTGAAGGCACATCCACAATAACCTTGTCACAAGTATCTTTCATGTCCAACCCAAGCTTCCAAACCTCCCCCACAAACCTACTGTTCACCTGCTGGTCAACAAAGTACGGCCAGCGTATCATCGGAACTCCGGCTACTATACTCTCCAGAGTCGAGTTCCACCCACTATGAGTCAAAAACCCACCGATCGCCGGGTTTGCCAAAACCTCTTCCCGTGGAGCCCAACCCACAATACATCCTCTTTTCCTTGTTCCTTCTAAGGGTTCAACCGGAATCATACTTTCAGTACAGTCCCCGGCGATGGAACCAGGCCGTCTGACCCACAAGAACAGCTTGCCACTATCGAATAAACCATACCAAAACTCCAGTAACTGGTCTTTGGTCATCACAGCAAGACTTCCAATGCTCACAAAGATCACAGAATTTAATGGCTGTGCATCGAGCCAGGCCAAGCAGCTCTTGTCTTCTTCCCATAAGCTGTTCGAAAATATAGCCTTTGAAGATCCAAGTCTANAATAAATGCTCCTAATACAGAGCATTTATTGCATCCTCCCCGAGAGGAGTACATTGTACCGTCGGCATCCCGATGACGCAGCATTGATTGCTCGGGACCCCGAGCAGTTAAGAAGAGAAGACATTCCTCATCAGAATCAGTGCGCACACTGCCTGTACCTAATGATCACCTACTGACTACACTGACAGCAATCATGAGCTTTTGAGGTATAAATACTCCTTGCAAAAGGCAAGACGGGTATGCAACAAAAAACTCTTTACTACAATACACACTCAGTGTTTTCTCCTTCCTCTCTCTTTCTCAAAGACTGACTAGATCGTCGGAGGGGATACGCCGGAAAACACTCCGGCGCCCTTCTAACTTGTTCTTCTTTGTTCCAGGAACCTTTCTTCAGCCTTACTAGATCGTTCTTCCGCTCCCTCAGGGTCTCCCGTTGCCATTCCAGGATACCATCAGACCTCACAGGTTGTTCTAAGTAGCGTGGTTGGTCACTCAACTGACTCATTCGAGTTCACCAAAAGAGAGATCTGTTCTCATTTTTATATTGTGCAGGATCTTGCAGGCACATCCACAATAACCTTGTCACAAGTATCTTTCATGTCCAACCCAAGCTTCCAAACCTCCCCCACAAACCTACTGTTCACCTGCTGGTCAACAAAGTACGGCCAGCGTATCATCGGAACTCCGGCTACTATACTCTCCAGAGTCGAGTTCCACCCACTATGAGTCAAAAACCCACCGATCGCCGGGTTTGCCAAAACCTCTTCCCGTGGAGCCCAACCCACAATACATCCTCTTTTCCTTGTTCCTTCTAAGGGTTCAACCGGAATCATACTTTCAGNCATTGATTGCTCGGGACCCCGAGCAGTTAAGAAGAGAAGACATTCCTCATCAGAATCAGTGCGCACACTGCCTGTACCTAATGATCACCTACTGACTACACTGACAGTAATCATGAGCTTTTGAGGTATAAATACTCCTTGCAAAAGGCAAGACGGTATGCAACAAAAAACTCTTTACTACAATACACATTCAGTGTTTTCTTCTTCCTCTCTCTCTTAAAGACTGACTAGATCGTCGGAGGGGATACGCCGAAAAACACTCCGGCGCCCTTCTAACTTGTTCTTCTTTGTTCCAGGAACCTTTCTTCAGCCTTACTAGATCGTTCTTCCGCTCCCTCAGGGTCTCCCGTTGCCATTCCAGGATACCATCAGACCTCACAGGTTGTTCTAAGTAGCGTGGTTGGTCACTCAACTGACTCATTCGAGTTCACCAAAAGAGAGATCTGTTCTCATTTTTATATTGTGCAGGATCTTGAAGGCACATCCACAATAACCTTGTCACAAGTATCTTTCATGTCCAACCCAAGCTTCCAAACCTCCCCCACAAACCTACTGTTCACCTGCTGGTCAACAAAGTACGGCCAGCGTATCATCGGAACTCCGGCTACTATACTCTCCAGAGTCGAGTTCCACCCACTATGAGTCAAAAACCCACCGATCGCCGGGTTTGCCAAAACCTCTTCCCGTGGAGCCCAACCCACAATACATCCTCTTTTCCTTGTTCCTTCTAAGGGTTCAACCGGAATCATACTTTCAGTACAGTCCCCGGCGATGGAACCAGGCCGTCTGACCCACAAGAACAGCTTGCCACTATCGAATAAACCATACCAAAACTCCAGTAACTGGTCTTTGGTCATCACAGCAAGACTTCCAATGCTCACAAAGATCACAGAATTTAATGGCTGTGCATCGAGCCAGGCCAAGCAGCTCTTGTCTTCTTCCCATAAGCTGTTCGAAAATATAGCCTTTGAAGATCCAAGTCTAACCTTGTGATGGGTGTGTAGAGGACCAATGGCGTAGAGGTTTGGGCATAGACTGCGCATGTGAGACAACAATGTTCCTTCTAGCTCTTCAAATGTGTGGATAATCACACCTTGGGCTTTTGGGAGTTCTTGGTCCTCGTTCAAAACTAGTTTGATAATAGGGTCAGTCAAGTCACTGGATCTACAGAAGCTGGGAAGATCACGACGCCGGAGAAAACCCTCCATGCCCGGTACACATGTTATCTTGGCATCCAAGTTATCACCTGTAGATCAGAAAGTGAATGCAGAGTTCAGGCTCTAATGGGTCACTGACAACGTCAAATAATACCGTTTTTATATAGAAATCAAATACATAAATGGGGATCAGATCAATATTTAACTGTTAGAAACACAAATATCTTTGTCTCTTTTTTATTTCACCGGGGAGGGGGGGGGATCAAAATAACACGCCAACCTTTAAATGCAAACTCTCCAGCTTCGATGAGTTTGGGGAGACAACTGAATCCATATGGCACAAGGACTTAATGTATCGAAGTATATCAGTGGAATTCCAATCTGTTGAGCAACACCACCAGCAAAACTGAAGAACCCATCTGCTATGATGCAAGTCACCGGCTGCTCCGACTTAGAACTCATACCATCTCCGTGAAAAGTGGGTATGTCACAACTTCCATTCCATCAACCAGCTCCATGAACAGATCACCGGACCGCGGGTGGACTTCAGACAAGCCATCTCCGATGGCTCGAAATCTAAATTTCGGATAGCGAATGAAACGACACTGGATGTTTGTGTGTCGGAGAAGACAGTGCTGGACATGGTCGGTGTTGAGGAAGGTGACATGGAAATCGGCGAGGCAGAGAAGCTCGGCTAGTTTGAGCATGCCATTAACGGGGCCTTGTAGTGGTAACGGGAAGATTAGGACATGAGGAGAGAAGGTTTTTTGAGAATCCATCAGATCAAGAAAGTTTGATTAACCTGTTGTGACTTTGTATTGTGAAAAGCTTGCCTACGTGGTTTAAATTTAAAGGGGTTGGTTTTGCATGAAAGTTTTCAATTTTACATTTTTTAATGAGGACGATTAGGGTATAGAACAAGGCAAATAGATCAAAAGTTACAATCGAAAGATATAATGTATTAAAGTTAAGTTTTAATTTTTTCAATAATATCAGTTGATGCACATGTCCATTATATGTAAATTATTTTGAATTATAATTTTTATTTTAAAATTTTAAATTAAATTAAATTTATGATAAAAAATAATTTTTGACACAAATGTGTAATATGTTGATCTTTTAAGGCAATGCTATAGGGACTTTATTTGGGATTCTAATAATGTGATTTCAATGTAATTATTAGATTAGTTGTGAGTTTCAATGTTAGATGTAGTTTACAATCAATCTAAAGGTTGTATATCATTAGGTCTCCAAATTAGGCTCAAATAACATTTTCCATCTTCCAATTAGTCACTAATTATGTCTACTAAGTTATCTTTTACTTTGTGTAAAATGTGAAGAAATAATATTTTGGTGCACAAGTAGGATTGAATGCTAGCATGTAGCAAGTAACACAATAAAAAGATAATTGTGTGCAGTATTTTTCGCACAATAGATGAAAAGACAGATCTCTTCCTTGGTGAACTCGTGTTTGCCCTGAAATTCAACGATCTCAGGACAAAAGAAAAATTCAAAATGGCCAAAGGGAGTCTAAGGAATGGTGATAAATTGCTCCAGGAGTTGTTCTACATAGTCAGTAGGTAGTGTCTAGTCATGGGACAGTACGCCTCCTATGTTGTGTGGGGGAGGACCCTTTATTAATTGCTCGGGTCTTGGAGCATTTAATGCTTCTCCTTCCCAGCTTCCCAAGCCACTGCTGATGTCCCATCATATGAGGATTCATTAAATGTTTGTCTGAGATAACCGTATGTCAACAGGGGTATTTTTATCTATTTATCCCTCATCATACACATTATGCCACGCGTCTAACTCTCTTTGGTGGAGTGTCTTGTTCGTTCTGCCATTCTGACTTCATTGTGCAGGGCACCCTCATGATTCTCAGTCTAGTTGAGATTGATCAGCTGTCAATCAGTAGCCTTTCTAGAAGTAGGAGACATGTGGCAAGACCAAAGTTCCGATAAGTACCCCTGGAGCCGAGAGCACGTGACTACTTCGAAGTGGAGGTACCCTCGAAATCAAGTATACGTGGCTACGCAAAAGAGTGGGAGAAGCCTCGGCGCCGAGGGAGGCCTGTCATCATCAAGGAGGAGGACGTGCCTCTGTGCCAAGGACACGTGTTGGCGATCCACCCCCTTTCTTAGAAATTTCCCATCAATAATCAATATAACTAAGTTTATTCAGTTAATGATCAATTGAGATAAATTCATATGTGGAGCACATGCACAAAAAAGATGTTCCGACACTCCAACCCATTGCAAAATTATCAGTTTATCAATTACTAACAGAGTAGAAGCCTAAAGAGAGAAAAACATAAATAATGCAAGTGTTTTAGTAACTCATAGACTTTTTGTTACTCCTTTAGCAGAGTGAACTAAGATTATAAAGAGAATTAGTTAGAAAAAATTAACTAAATGAAAGCCTAGATCAAAAGGTCATCAAGTGTTCAAATGTCCTTTTTATAGCCCCCCAAACCGAAGAGTATGTCAAAACAATACAATAAGAATATTTATTGTTAATTACAAAATGCAGTGAATAATAGATAAAGTGACTAGTTATCTTTTGTTCAATGACACATTCAAGTTTCAGGTTGTCGCTTACAAAGGCTTGCCTTGAACTTGTTATTTATATTTATATTTTATCTTATATCTACATTTTTTTCAAGTTACTCTTAAATTTTATCCACATTTGATGGCCTCGTTTCTTCTGTTGGTCTGCCCAAAAAGCTTCACACTGACAAAAAACGAAAAAAAAAAAAAAAAACAAAGGGTAGTCTAACAGTGCCATAAAATAACTTCATGATATGTATCAAAAAATAAAATGACTTCATGAAACACTTAATGAGTCTTTGTTTGCTTAATCTATGAAACATCTAGGAATTTTTCTTCACCATAACAACTTCCCCTGCAATAGCAAAAAAAAAACAACTTCCCCTGATTCAGCAAATAGAGGTGATCACTTGAGAATGTCGATAGCAAGTATATAAAATATACAAATCACACATCAACTTCAATGACATAATTTTGTGGGTAAATGAGGAGTTCAAATACTTTGTACCACTGAATCACTACGCGGAAGGTAATACCTTCAACATGAGAACAATAGAAAAAAAGAATGTAAGTGACACAACCATTGTGCTATTTGGATGTGGGGCTAAATCATGTTCAAGAATGCCTAAAAAAACAATACTCAGTTTACTCACTATTAATGGGAGGAGAGGCATAAATCTGGGACAAAGCTAATCGTTTACATAACTTACACAAAATGACTACCATTCGAACTCACAATTTCAAAGTTACTCGTTCGAAATATAACCACTAAACTAATGACTAATATGGTAATGTTAGTCAAATGCAAAAGACCCTTGTCATTACGTTAGTTGAGTAGAGTCAAATATACAAAATCTTATGAGAGACTATTTACTTGATAAGTTTTTCAAGACTTATAGAAATTATTATCCATAACAAAATCAAACCCAAAACCCAGACATTCTTTTAAGAGATTCTCTTGCATTGAATAGAGTATATGAAATTGTATCAACATCAACGCATTGTTCTTGGCTAATATCTTTTGGCTAACTATTGCCCAACATGTGAAATATGTACAACAACCCAATAGTCTTTGTGAAAAGTAAATTGTAACTGACACAATTACAATATTATTATTGTGACTGTTAATCTTGATTTTGGTTTAACTCATAAAAATAAATCACAAACAAAATAGTTACAATGTTCTAGCAAAGAAAAAGAATTCGAAACTGTGAAGGAACTATGTATGAAAGATGTATTCAATCCGAATAGAGAGAGAGACAGAGAATCAACACATGTTCAAGTAGCACACTGGTTTCGCCGAACAAAGAGAAGCAGAAGTGAGAGCCATTAGAACTGGATCAATATGAAGAAAGTCATGAACTTGTTAGACTTCTAATTTATAATAGCTACATTCATTACATATTGAAATATGAGTTAACGAATCAAAGATAAGGAACACGAAATGGTCGAAATCGCAATGGTTACCTTATTCAATGCCCAAAATTTGTACATGTTAAATGTTACCTGGTATTCGATTGGCTCAAGATAGAAGAGAGAAAGGCAGTTTAGGAGGTGATGAGTTGCAAACGTTTTTGAGATAATAAATGTACGTATTAATTACTTGAATATTATTAGAAGATTAAAGGTTAAGAAGGATAAATGAGGGAAAAATGACTTAATTGACTTTACAAGAATAAATAAGGGTAGAATAGAAAATCCAAAATTTTGAAAAATAGTGACATTTTATAATAATATACAATTTTATAATAGTATATATAGATAGATCTAAATAGATTCTAACTCGAATTTTTAAGGTCTAAAACTTAAGTAATTATACTAACGATTGGATAAAAGATAAAATTAGCTTTATAGAATAAATCAAGAATATATTCAAAAATTAAGAATTTTTCTCTTTTAACTATTTTTTTTATCAATACTATATATATATATATATATATATATATAGAACTAGAATAATAAATAGGAATAATTAAGTGGCAAAAATTAAGTGGTTATACAAATGGGAGAGAAAAAGATCCATTAACCTACCACATAAGCAAATGTACAACACATGGAATAATAAGTGGGAGTATTATGAAAGGTTATTTGGATATATAATGAATATCGAATAATTAAATGCATAAAGATATATGAATTTTTTTCCTGTCTTTAATAAGAACATAATAGTAAAACAAAAGTTTTTCACTTTGTTGACAATTCATAGTAATATGGAATAATAAATGAAAGAATTATAAAAGGTCATTTGGATATTTAATAAATATCGAATAATTAAATGCATAAGGATAAGAGTGTTTTATACCTTTAAGAAAGACATAATATTTATACATAAGTTTTTTTACTTTTGTAGATATTTTATAGTAGTCAAATACAATAAAAATAATTAATTAATCATTAGTAAAAAATTTGGACTTGAGAAGTTCATAACAATTAAGCAACAAATAAATGGCATATTTATGTTACAACACTAAAGCAACGAAGGAAAAAAAAAAAAAAACAAGAGACGGAGGCATTTACAAAAATCTTGATAGAAGCAATGGTCTCCAATTATTGTTGTTGGCGTCGATTTCGACAAACCCCAAAGGCTCCGGTTGAAAAGGAGAGGAGAAGTGTGACGCGGCGAAGTAGGAAAAAATATTACTAGCTGGGTTTTTCAAAGGTGATGCCTCAGTCCATGGCCGACGTCAATTGCCGGAGTTGTGAAGTCCGACGACTGTGTATACATGTGTATTCGAACGAAAATAAAAAGGGGGAGGAGAAAGGCTAGGTCTGTTGAGGGAGATGAGGAGGGAAGGACAACACCAATTCTTGGGTATGTCAATGGAGAAAGCCTACAACTGTTTGTTGTTGCCGGCGGCATTTGGTTTAGCAAAGGGGAAGGGAGAAGGCGACGGGGTTTGGGTCTATCGATGGGATGAGAAGAATGAAATCTAATTCTTTAAAATTTGAAATTTTTTTTGTTGGAAAAAAAATTGATGACATGATTTGAATACATCAACAATCACATCATCAAGTATAATTTTTAAGTTTATGTATTATTACTTTATACAAAATTTTGATCAATTAATCATAAAATAATATGATCAATAATGAAATAAAATTACATCTTTTAAAAATTATGTTTCAAGTGTTTGAGATTATTCTGATCGTAATAACTTGTGATCACCACCGAGGTGATAGCCTTATTGGCTTTCAGGAGAGGGTGAAAGTCCCGTTCTTTTCTAGTTGTTATGGGTTTGAACCTCCTTGCAATAGTTTGTACTTGTTACTGTTGTGGTGATAGAGTTAACCATCCTAGATTAATGTCTATGACACAAATAAAAAATTCTACGATGAATGAAAATCTCAGGATAACAACTTCAAAAAATTGTTATGTTTAATCGCCCTTGACCACTCTTTAAAAAGCAAAAAAAAAAACACTGATGATAAATCACACATTTGTGATCCATAATGAATAAGTATAATTTTTAAGTCTTTTACAATGTGTAACTTTACTTTTAACATTGACATTTTTTTGTATGGTATTAAAAAATTATAAAAGAAATCCCCAATTTTTTTTCTATATTTTAGTTGAATAATAAAACTCATTAATAAGGTTAATAATTGAGTCGGGCTCATTTTCTTAAATAAGTTTAAAATATTATTCTAGTTCGACTCGTTAATGAGTCGAATTCGAATAGCTCGATTTTTTCACATATAAATGAATCGAACCTAAAAAAATGAGTTTAAAAAATTGTTAAAACTCAACTTATTTAAAAAACGTATTGAAGCTGATTAAATATAGAACAAATGAAGTTCAACTTGGCTCAATTATCAATGACACTTATAATATGACAAAAAATTAGGTAATGGTGCCATCACATCACATAAAAAATGGGTAAATTTCGCCAATGGTCTTTCAAGTTTGTCACTATAGCGTTTTGGTCCTTAAAATTTTAATTTATCAATTTCTTCCCCAAAATTTAAATATTGTGTCAATTTGATTATAGTTGTCACAAAAATTAACGAAAAACATATGCGCCTCTCACGTGCCTCTCACGTGGATATGTTAAGGTTATTTCTATTATTTTGCACAACAAGCAAAGGGCAAAAATGAAAAACAAAAAATCAGTCCACCTTCCCCTGTTTTTACTTTACGTCCCTTGTCCCAACCCACAACCTCTCAATTCTCCTCCACCTCCACCACCACAAGCCAGCCAAATGAACTACCCTTATTGTTGTCCAATCACCTCCCTCTCCTCATACTCTGTCACTTGTAAGCCGCCACCAACCCAACCCAATGACCCTTATCGTTATCCAACCACCTCCCTCTCCTTATCCTCTGTCACTTGTAAGCCGCCACCACCACACCACTGTCACCTCCACCTCTGCGAAGAGGCTATAAATACCGAATATCAAGGAACCAAAGAAATTTCAGAGGCAAAAATAGAGAAATTGAAAGAGAGAAACAGAGTGACAGAAATTCATAATCAAGGCCAAACAAGGGGTTGTTGTTTTTTTTTTTTTTTGTGTTGTGTGTGCGCGTCGAATGGATGCTAGGGTTTGACAGACAGAGAGAAGGCTATGTTGGGTTGGAGGGAGAGACGCACTGAGAGACGAAATTAGAGAGAGAGAAAGAGACAGACAGACGGAGAGAGACAGGGAGAAAGAGATAGAGTTAATAAATGCTTTCGGAGAGACAACATTCGTCTTTCGATACTTCGTCATGGATCACTAATTGGGTTGAATTCTGGGCTGGCAGTTGTTGAATTGTGATTTTAGGTTTGGTTTTCATTTTGTGTTTGATTGGGTTTCAATTTTGAATGCAGTTGGTGAAAAGTTGTTCACGAAACAATGGAGGTTAGGTGGTGGCTCAGTGTTGTTTGGCAGAAAGAGGTGGTTGCGGGGAGTTTTCTGGTTGTGTGAATGACAATTTTGTTTGCACACACTGTATGCATATGTGTGGGTGACCTTGTGTTGTTTGCTGTGAGAGAGGGGAAAACAGAGATTTACTGCGTGGGTCGGGGGTGCAAAAATAGAGAATTGGAGAGAGAGAGAGAGAGTGTGTTTTGAGCCGGTTTACGAGTGTTAAAAGAAGAAGGAAAGAAAAAAGAGACAGAGAAAAAGTGTGTTTGGAAAACAGCGTAGGCGTGAAACGTCTAACAAATAAGGTATAAATTGTGTCCTGCATATTATTTTCTTCTATTCCACTCTACCAAACATTCCCTTGGGATAAGTGTGTTTTGGTCTAAGAAATGTAGGACAATGACCAAATTGCCCTGGCAGCAATAACGTGGTAGGCACAAGTATTTTCCATCAAAAATTCAAACTGGGTTAAGGCTAAGAACCACATTGTTCCAATAGGAAAACACTGAGGATCAAATTGACATAATTAAAATTTTAAAAATTAAAGTACAATAAGTGATAAACATTTAGGAATTATCGGTACAATTTACCCCATAAAAAAATTGTCAAACAAAGTGCTTGGTGCTATCAACTCCAACCTTCCCCACATTAAAAAGCAAATATTACAGCATCAATGCATCACCCAAAAATTAAACGCGTGAAGCTTCCAAGCTCATTACTCTTACGTCNATTTACCCCATAAAAAAATTGTCAAACAAAGTGCTTGGTGCTATCAACTCCAACCTACCCCACATTAAAAAGCAAAAATTACAGCATCAATGCATCACCCAAAAATTAAACGCGTGAAGCTTCCAAGCTCATTACTCTTATGCCCTCAATCAAACGTTCCAAATTACAGAATGATGAACCACCTTCGTTAACACTTTCTCTTGCCAATTTTGACATCAGATCAGCCCTCGCCATCAACTCATCTTTCCTCTCATCTATAAGATCTCTGATCGTCTTCTCAATGATAACCCTATCACAAGTATCTTTCATGTCCAATCCAAGCTTCCAAACCTCCCCCACAAACCTACTATTCACTTGTTGATCAACGAAGTACGGCCAGCAGATCATTGGAACTCCGGCTACTATACTCTCCAGAGTTGAGTTCCACCCACTGTGAGTCAAAAACCCTCCGATAGCCGGGTGTGCCAAAACTTCTTCTTGTGGAACCCAACCCACAATACACCCTCTTTCCCTTGTGCCTTGCAGGAGTTCTGTCGGAATCTGACTTTCAGAACAGTCGCCAGCGATGGAGCCCGGCCGTCTGACCCACAAGAACCGCTTGCCACTATTGACTAAACCATACCAAAACTCCATTAACTGGTCTTTGGTCATGACAGCAAGACTACCAATGCTTACATAAATCACAGATTTTAATGGCTGTTGATCGAGCCATACCATGCAGCTCTTGTCCTCTTCCCATAAACTGTTTGAAAAAGTGGGTGGTTTTGATGCCAATTTTGGGCAGAGTCTTGTGTTGAGGTGGGTGTGCAGGGGACCAATGGGGTAGAGATTTGGGCAAAGTGTACCCATGTGAGAGAGGAGGGATCCTTCTAGCTCTTCAAATGTGTTGAGTATGAGGCCTTGGGCTTTTGGAAGTTCGTGGTTCTCCTTCAAGATTAGTTGGATAACTGGTTCAGTCAGGTCACTGGATCGGCAGAAGCTGGGAAGATCCCGGCGTCGGAGAAAACCTTCCATGCCGGGGACACATGTTATCTTTGCATCCAAATCATCTCCTATAGTAAATGCCGTGAGATTAGAAAGTGAATGAAATATTATAATATCAATTGACCAAAACAGAGCATCAAGGTAAAAGCATACCTTTAAAGGGAAGCTCTTTAGCTTGAATGAGTTTGGGAACACACAAATAAGTCCATAGACCACAAGGACTTATAGTATCGAAATATAAAAGCGGAATTCCAATCTTCTGAGCAACATCAACAGCAAAACTGAAGATCCCATCTGCTATTATACAAGTCACCGGCCGATCAGAGCTAGAACTCAGGTCCCCGGAAGTTACCATCTCCGTGAAAAGAGGGTATGTAACAGCTTCCATGGCATCAAACATCTCCACGAACCGATCACCAGATCGTGGGTGGTCTTCAGATAACCCATCGGAGATGGCTTCAAATCGGAACTTGGGATACCGAGTGAAGCGGGATTGAACGTCGGTGTACCGGAGGAGACGATGGTGGATGTGGTCGGTGTTGAGAAAGGTGACATGGAAATCGGCGAGGCAGAGAAGCTCGGCGAGTTTGAGCATACAATTAACGGGGCCTTGTAGTGGCAAAGGGAAGATGAGTACATGAACAAAGAGTGGTTTTGGATAATCCATTGGATCAGTAGACGAGGAGATTGGTCCTCATTCCTGACTTTGTATTGGGAAAAGCTTTGGCTCCTTGCCTTTAAGGAGAGTTATGTTGGTTTGTGCGCTGATAAATTATCTAAAACATCTTTCACTTTAATTTCACCTTATTTTATAAATCACTTTTAATTATTTTATTATCTCCCTAATTGTTTTATTATCAAATTCGAAAAATACAACATTTGTGAAGGGTTTCAAAGATCTGTCTTCCCATGTTATGGTGGTCCATTATATGGATGTCTAATTCTTACATTTATCGGCTTTCGTGTTCCAAAAAACAAAAAAAAAACATGTATCGGTTTCATTTTTATTGTACAACATTATTTTGTTATTATGGTTTGAGGTTTTTGGATTAATTTATATGAACTTTGATTAATTATCTATTCAGTTCAATTAAAGACAAGTCAACAATACTAAAATCAAATAATTTATGAGAGAAAAATTTTTAATTATCTAAGCTCAAATAAATTAATAAATTTAAAATTTAAAATGTTTAAGTTGACAACTCGTCATTTTTTTTGCAAGATTATCCTCGAGATTTTTGATGACGCACAAAAATGGTTTTGAACACTATCTGTTAAGTGTAAATAATAAATGCAATAAAAGTAAAGAAAGAATTGGAGGAGACAAGATTTATAGTGGTTCGGTCAACTCGACCTACGTCCACTCTTGAATGATTTTCGTTGTCGAGTACTTTATTAACTTAGGGGTATAGNTTATGGTTTGAGGTTTTTGGATTAATTTATATGAACTTTGATTAATTGGAGGAGACAAGATTTATAGTGGTTCGGTCAACTCGACCTACGTCCACTCTTAAATGATTTTCGTTGTCAAGTACTTTATTAATTTAGGGGTATGGAGATAGAGAACACAAGCTTCGAGGGAGAATAGAGAATCAAGGAAGGTGTGGTGTCCCCTTCCAAGTGTTGATGGAGCGTGCAATTTATAGTGGCCCCCTAACAGGTTGGGGCTACTTTCCAGCAACTAAGCAACTATTTCGGTGGAGCTCCCGATCTCTTCTCAACGAGAGCGAGGTGGTTGAGGAGCTCTCCATGAGATGCGGTCAAAGATGGACCGTTTCTTTTGGTGGTGCAGATAAAGCTTCTCATGTTCTCCCCCTTGATGACGTGACTAAGCAAAGAGTCTAACTGATCTTGGACTATATTGGGCTTGGTGGATTTTTCATGAGGTTGGACTCCTTAATTGGGGTTGAACTTCTCACATAAATTGGACTATTTGGGCTTGACCCATCATTTGCCCCCCAATGCCCCGTGTCCACGGAAACTTGGAGAATGGTGCATTAACTTACATCTTAAGTTTCATGTGGTGGAAACTTTCTCTCCTAGATGACTCTTTCTCTGCATGAAAGAGCGAGGTGGTTGAGGAGCTCTCCATGAGATGTGGTCAAAAATGGACCGTTTTTCTTTGGTGGTGCAGATAAAGCTTCTCATGCTCTCCCCCTTGATGACGTGACTAAGCAAAGAGTCTAACTGGTCTTGGACTATATTGGGCTTGGTAGATTTTTCGTAAGGTTGGGCTCCTCAATTGGGGTTGGACTTCTCACATAAATTGGACTATTTGGGCTTGACCCATCATTTGCCCCCCAATGCCCCGTGTCCAATGAGACTTGGAAAAGGGTGCATTAACTTACATCTTAAGTTTCATGTGGTGAAAACTTTCTCTCCTAGATGACTCTTTCTCTGCATGATGTATTTTCGCTTTGGTACACATCTCAAAATTTTCCCACTTTTGCTAGGATTTTTAAGAGAGCCCATAAATTTTAATTTGAGTTTTTTCCCTCTTTAAAAATCCTAGGCTATAAATATAACCTTCTTCTTCATTCTACCCACTCCTTCCAACTTGCCTTTTTTTTTTTTTTGAAATCCTTGGAGGCCCAAAGCTTGAGACTCTTGAGTTGGAGCATCAATGAAAAGAAAAACCAACACTGCTATTGAAGAGGATGTAAGTAGCGACATAGAGGTGTCTCAGGCATCCATTGCCACCGTTATTCATGCACCCAATGGGATGTCCGAGCTTGGGTTGTCGAAAATAAGGGAGCCCATGGTTCCTGTTGGTGATTCAAGGTCTCGGGCAATGGAGCTTCCGCCTTTGGGTGCCAGTGTTGCTGTAGGTGTTGTCCTGGACAGCTGTGGTACCGAAAATGCTGTCCCGGACAACTTAGGCGTGCAAATAGGCAAGCAAGGTAGCACTTTTGCGCGAATCAGCGCGCAAGGAGGCAATCTGGGCAGTGCAGGAAGGCTGGGCAGCGCGCAAGGAGGTCTGGACAATGCAAACCCGCGATTGGGTAACGCGCGTGCGCAGTCTGGCGGACTGGGCAATTCTGGTGCACTGGGCAGCTGCTTGGATGTTCTTTTCTGCTGTCCTGGATAGCTCAACTGCGCTGGGCAGCACAAATTCTATTGTTTCTGCTATCTTGGACAGCTCAACGGCGCTGGGCAGCACAAATTCTACTTTTTTGGGCAGCGTTCGAGTGTTGGGCAGCAACATTTCTTCAGCAAAAAGTGCTGAAAATCAGTCCAAGGTGCAACAGGGAGAGCTAGGCAGCGGCATGGGAGCACGGACAGATCTGAGCGCCACTCCAGGCGCTGATTTGGGCACCGTAGGTGCTGATTTTGGTGCCGAAAATTCTGTTTTGTGCAATTTTGAAGGGTCAGACACCCTTCCAGCTATTGACCAACTCCGTTTTGGTGGGCAAAGGCAGTCAGGCACCCTTCCAAGTGTTGGGCTAGACATTGCAAGCGGTAAGGAAGCTTTGGGTGTTGTTTTTGATGATCAAGACCCTACTGTGACTCCTCCGATTCAAGTTCCTCAAGACTTCCCGAAGGGTGATTTAGACTACTCCTTACGGCCCCGGAAGAAGAAACGTAAAGGCAAAGTGGGACTCGATGATGACGGGTCGAACGTGAGTACCCTTTCCAGTCTGTTCCATTTAAATAAAGATATCTCGAGGCTTGTTTTTACTTATCGCATTCCTCCGACCGTGCTGTGCCGTCGGGCTGAGTTGGGCGAGCTTGCTTGCGATGACTCTTCTGGTGATATTGTTGTTTACGAGGAGATGCTTGAGGCTGGGTTAAGATTCCCCATGTTCTGTCCCATTTGTCGTGTTTTGTACTATTTTTCCTTGACTCTGGGGCGACTAGTGCCCAATGGTTGGAGAGTTCTGCTGAGCTTTCTTGCATTGTGGAGAAAAGTGCACCATGAGGATGCTTCTCCTATGGAGTTCCATGCAGCATACAATTTGAGCGAAACCCCTGCACCAAATAGGGGGTGGTACTACTTTACCACAAGAAGTGGTACAGTGCTTACGAGAACGCGCTCTAATTGTGGCGGCTGAAATACTTGCTTCTTCTTTGTTGGTGGAGAGTGGGCTACAGAAGCCGACAGATCTTTAGTACCAACACATTGGGGTGCTGCTAGAAAACTGGTACGCTGCACATTTTTTATTTATTTATATATACNATATATATATATATATATATATATATATATATATATATATATATATATATATATATGCTCACCATTCCCATGCAAACACGTATGTGCTTTCTCGAGACCAGGAGTGAAAGTTGGAGGCTGTCAAGGCTTGCCCTTGCAAAGATTTGGGAGCTCTCCTGCCCAAGGATACTAGGGTCGTTGCTCCCTCTGAGAAATCTGGTGGTTCCTCTTCGAAGAAAATAGGTGAACTAGTTTCCTCTTTTAATTCTCTTCTTTCCTCGGTATTTTTCATTTACCTGACACTTCTCTACTCTTGCAGCAAGTAAGAGGGTGGTGGTGTCCCGTTTCTCTAGTAGGAGTCGTCTCTCTTCCAAAGTGGCAAGGATGGATGATGCCCCCTAAGTGACACCTACGGTGGTTCCTCCTCAGCTGGTGACTTCTCCAGTTGCTACTCCAGAATCTTCCTTGCCGGGCACATCCTCCCCACCTTCATCCTCTCCTTGTGCTGCCCTTCCTTTGTCCCTTTCTCGTGCGAGAACTTCTACAAGAGTGTCGATTTGGGCTGGTCCTATGATGGGGAGTCCGCCAGCCATCAAGACAAGACTTGAGAGGTTTGTGTTTGGACCCGAAGTTTCTCAGCTTAGCGCCTCGGGTACCGATAAGATCATCGATACGTATTTGGAAGGCCTGGCTTAGGTGAGAGTCCACTATTCCCCTTTCTCCAGTCGTTTTTTTCCTGTATTCTTGACTTTTCTCAACCTCTTATCTCCTTTTTTTTTTTTTTTTTAGGTTTCGACTTCCTCTATCTGCTTGCTTTCGAGGGCCTAAAATCATGACAAGCTGAAGCTGGATCTGAGCCTTCTGCAAAGGGAGATTCTTACTGCTCAGGGGAGGATTGCCAAGCTTGATTCTAAACTTTTGGTGACCCGTGAGAGGGATGCGCTTCGGGAGGGTGAGCTTGTGACGGCTCATGAAAGGGCTTTCAATTTTGAGTCTGAGCTTTTGGCGACCCCTGTGAGGGACGCGCTCAGGGATGGTGAGCTTACTATAACCCATGAGAGGGCAACTAAGCTGGCTGAGTTTCTAGCGATCCGCGAGAGGAATGTGCTCAGGGAGCCTGAGCTTGAAGAGGCCCATGGAGGGGCCATGCTCAGAGAGGCTGCTATTGCAGAGGCAAAGATGAAGGCTGCTTGGGAGAGAGTTTCCCGTGCTAAGGAAGACTTGGAGAATGGCCTCGCAGATGCTTTCATTGATGGTTTCGAGGATCTCCGAGGGAAGGTTTTCGCCGCTTTCCCTGGCATTGACTTCTCACGTTTCGTGCCCACTGACGACAGTGACGAGGGGGGATCTGATGATGTTGATGATGACGAGGAGGAGGTGGAGGACTACCGTGAGAGCAGTTAAAGTGTTTAGGACTTTTGATTTTTTTTTAAGAGACGATATTTGGCCTTATTTTTGTACTGATACTCCTTTGAAATGAAATGTAAAAGATCTTTTTGGAGTAAATAGCGTAGAAAATTTTATTGATTTATTGCTTATAAAAAGCAATATTGGGTAATAATTCCCAAAAAATTACATTGA